CTTGCAGGCCTAATTCCCCCTCGCCCCCCCAACTGCTCTCCCCTAAAGGCCTAGGTCCCCCCAAACTGCCCTTTCCTGCAGCCCCAGTCACCCCCAACTTCCCTCTTTGGTAGGCCTGGTACATCCCAACTTCCCTCCTCTGCCAGCCTGGTCACCCCTAACTACCTTCCTGTGCAGGCTTGATCACCCCCAACTGCCCTCCCTTGCAGGCCTGGTCCCTCCCAACTACCCTCCCCTGCTGGCCATCTTGTGGCAGCCATCTTGTATCCACATGAGGGCAGCTATCTTGTGTGTTGGAGTGATGGTCAATTTACGTAGTATTAGGATATCTCTCCTACAATGGCATATACCTAAGTATTTAAATCATGTCTGCTATCATATTTTTAATCATAAATAAATACCAATAACCAAAAAGTCCTCAAATATTTGAAGTACCAGAGAGATATGCATTGTATATCACTATCATTGTCAAATGTGTACCTTCTTTGATTTATAATTCCCAGATTACATGAGAATGGTAAAGAATTCTGACACTAATTAAAATGGTATCATCTTTTTTCTAACCTTAGCTTTTATATAAAAACTAGTGCATGAAATTCTTGTACAGGTAGGGTCCCTAGGCCTGGCTGGTGATCAGGGCCAATCAGGGCCTTCCAGTTGCCAGCCAGCCCTCCCTTCCCTGGCTGCCAGCTAGGGCCTTCAATCATTCTGCACCGCCCTCTGGTGGTCAGCACATGTCATAGCAAGTGATCTAACTCCTGGTCTCCTGGTTGAACTCCTGTAGGGACACTTTGCATATTAGCCACACACACACACACACACACACACACACACACACTTTATGTGAAAATTTCTAGCACGTGATGAGAATATAGCAAGAACGAAATAATTCAGCCAACATAGAGCAGTTCAGTAAATTCTCCAAGTGCATGCTGTTAATAGGTGAAAGTTAAGTGTTGAACTCAGATCTTTCTGTATTCACAACCGTGTTCTTTCAACTTTATTGTCAAATATGTGGCATTCGTCGATTGACACACACATACTCTTGTGCATAATTTTATGTAGCACTTTATGATATGCATCCTGAGATTGCAAGATAAGGCAGTAGAATGAATCCCCGGGGGACATTTATCCTAAATCCTTCTTTTCATAATGGAGGTAACTGAGGCCTAAGGAATCAGCCAAGGTCATATAAGAAAGTAATAACAATGTTGGAAGCGAGATTTTTCATTTAAGCTTAACAGGAATGCCATAACATGACATGAAAAATTTAATGTCCTACTCTTAAAATAAGTTACAAAATAATTTTTAAAAATAAATGTTTAAGATTCATGCTGTCATATATTTTACTATTTATGTTAATACATGGCTGCAATAAGCTTTTTCCAGAGTTCATTTTGAAGCTGATGCTACAACAGAGCAAATCACAGGGGGGGAAAAATGTGGGGACTTGGTTTAGAAACACACAGAACAGATTTCACACAGCTCTAAAAAGTAGGCATGGAGCCCACTTTCTGGAATAAATCAAAGAGTAGGCAGAAAACAGACAGCAGGAACAGTTATTTTAGCACGAAAAATGAGATAAATTTATCAAGCCAATCACCGGATGATGTATGCAGATAAAAAGATGCAGAGAGAAAATGTGCAATGTTGATACGTGAACACATTTGAATGCAAGAAAGCAAAAAAACAGAAAGCTCAATTGTCCTAAATGTGAACAAACACTCAAATTTTGCTGCAGCTGCAAAATTTAAACTCAAGGAAGAGACATTTGAAAAGGAATTTATTAAATAGATGTGATTTTCTGCTTTCACATACCCAGTGCCTCTTTTATAAAGTAAAACGTACAATTTGTCTTGATATAAATGACATTTCCCTCGTTGGACTCAATAAAAAAGCAGAACTTCCTTTATGAACGACTCTGCTTATTAGAGAGCACAATGCTATTGATAACCAGACATTCAGGCTCTGAAGCACAGAGCTATTCCACCTAATAAAATGTCTTCTATATTGAGTACGTATGGTCTTATACAATAGGGAGGTTAACATGCAAAGGGAATTAGTTTTTCCCTAATGACATATGCCAGAGCAGTTTCTTTGTAAGAAGTTACGTTTCTCACTGAAACCAACCCTTGGTTTCCAAACCTGTCCATCTGTTCCTGTTCTCCCTCCTCTCTTCCCTGCACACCCTTCCCCCACCTTCCAACCATCCAACACATATTTATAAACCTAAAGTATATAACACAGCAGGGCATAAAATGTATCAAAAGACTATTGAAAATTTTGTGATATTAAGCCAGTATCTGAACAGAAGACACACCTCCCACACGGGGAAGTTGGCAAGCAAGCCCTCCTATTGCCAGAAGTCTTGACTGCAACTGCAAAATGTAGAACATGTGACGCCAACCTGGATCATTTGTTTTGTTTTGTTTTTTAAATATATTCTATTGATTTTTACAGAGAGGAAGGGAGAGGGATAAAGAGTTAGAAACATCAATGAGAGAGAAACATCCATCAACTGCCTCCTGGACAACCCCTGCTGGGGATGAGCCAGCAACCAAGATACATGCCCTTGACCAGAATAGAACCTGGGACCCTTCAAGTCTGCAGGCTGAAGCTCTAACCATTGAGCCAAATCGGTTAGGGCATGGATCGTTTGTTTTACTCAGTGGTTCCCAAAGTAGGTTCTCTGCACCAGCAGGACAGCATTACTCAGGAACTTCTTAGAAATGCAAATGCCCAAACCTCATCCCAGGCCAATCCATGTTTTAGGACCAAAGTACATTGAAATCACTTGGAACAAGACAGTGGTCCAGACCACTAGTAAGTGAAGTCATTAGAAATAAGTCAGGAAAACAGGGTGGCAGTTTTTAACTATTTGTTAAGAAGTTTGGACAATGGCGAATTGATAAATCAGAGAATATTTACTGAGCAAAAAGCAGACATGACCAAACTTTTATTTAGCAAGTCTTCCGAGCTGAATGAGACCATACAGGCGATCGCCTCGTTCGGGTAAGAAGGCAATAGTCATTTATTCTTGGTTTGATAACTCAGGAAAGTGACTGGGACTGTGCACTGAGTTTGCATTCTGTGCTCGGGATGTGATTTGTTCTAAGACATACTCTCTACTGTCAGCCATTCTCTTCACCCCAAGGTTTGCTTCTGTCTCCTCTTTGGCATTTCTGTCTTGTCATCTGCCACTACCCTGGTTTCCCTTTCCCGCCTTTTTCTACTGCCCTTTTCCCTCCCCACCCCTCCACTTTCATTTCTTCATGAGAAATTTGCATGCTACTGTATATTCTTTAATTTTAAATGTTTGTTACTGGTTTGTTTTAATAGATGCTCCTTACAGAGTTCACCAATTACATCCCTCCTCTAAACAGATTATCTTCCAAGGTCACAACACAATGTAAGGCTTTACCTGACTTTATTTTAATCTTATGTCAATCCTTATTATAATCCTTACATCACAATAACAAACAAACCCTTAATCACTTTACTGTGTTAAATCCATTTTGCTGGCTGACCATCGCTGCCACATTATGTTCTGACATGCAAATTTAAGTCACTCATTTCACACAAATAATGACATTGCTAACTGGTTGTTTCCAGATAGGAAAGATAATAATTAGATATTTTTGTGTCCACGAGTACCTTTTATATATAAAACAATATACAGTAAATAATAAGTACAGGTATATTGTTATTACATTATCTGTAATTCCAATGTTTTGGTCATATTCAAATCTTATAATTTAATTTCTCAAATGCACAAGTGGACCATTATATACTTCTCATTCTGAAATGGGAAATTAATCAATGAATAAGTTAGTTTTGAAACAGAGCTCACTCTGGTTCTGTGAAATTAGGAAGTCACTATTAACAACTTTAAAACACAAAACATTTTCTTCCTGGAGATAGTTCATTGAGGAGGAAGAATAGTGATTTATTATATGCTTTGAAAAGAAGTAGAAGGAACTATGATAGATGCCTCTGGCTCCCTGGGTCACCCCGCCTTGGCTCACCTCTGACCTCAGCCACATTCACAGACATATCCCTCTGTGCCACTCGGTTCTCTGGACTTTTCAGGGTCTGCCTCCAGTGACAACTCTTTCTGCTTTCTACCTCATGTGGTACCAGCATAGCCCAGAAGAAGGTGCTGTCAATGCCCCTGGGAGCAATTGACAACAAGGGGAAAGGTCAGTGGATAAACTTGCTGCAAACCCTTCAGGCAGAATTTCTGGAAGATATCTCTATCATCTTAGGGGTCCCAGAATAATCAAGTTCCCCTGGTCCACAGTGGAGGACTAGTGCACCCACCCTTATTTTCTTCTTTCCTTCCTGATTCACCCTCTGCTCTCTAATTCTTGATCCATGGGAGAACTATCCATGTAATTCTCTCATACAAGCCCCTAAACAAAGATGCTAGTTTACGGAAGTACTCAGCAATATCAATCTCCTGTAGCTGACTCCACACGCATAGTATTCCTGAGTCATACTTCATTAAGACCCTTCTTTTAATCTTTTCCAAAGCTAATGAAATAAAGGGAGTGTTTCCCCTGCCCTTCTTAGCATATGTAGATCACACTGAGCATGTCTAGGCTGATAAATTAACATTTGTACAACACTCTAAGAAAAAATAAAAGCTGATACGATTGCCACCTGTTTTCACAATTCCATGCTTAACCTAAAGTACAACAGTTTGGTCCACAGTCATGCAAATGGCATTTGCCCGATTTGCCACTCCAGAATAACAATTAAGAATGAAGGTGAAACATGTAAAACACATCTCATTCAGAATCCGTACAGACAACCAGGAAGTTAAAAATCACAGTCTTTAAGTTCAGTTGCCTGTTAATGTGTCTGGAATTACAATCCATAAAAATTTATATTCAAATATACCATGCCCTCAAAATAAAAAGCAATTGCTTCTTGGATGGTTGAAAAGAAAGCTGTAAGGATATGATATATAAAGAAAGAAAGAAAAAAAGACAGCTTACCTTTGAATATCAATTCTCCATTTTTCTCGCTTCTAAGACAGGACAGATATGAACTTGGCAGTTTTAGTCCCTTATCACTCGGGGCATGTGATGTGCAACTGTTCTGAAACAACAAAATGCAAAAATTAGATGCAATAACTAGCCTGAAGCAAAAAGAGACTCATAAGAAGATCTCATAAGAACTCCTCTGGCAGGCTCCAACTCAATGAGGTGAGGAGCCGGTTCCTAGAAAAGTTACATGGCCATGGTCTTGCATGAAGAAAAAACTTTGTACTTCTATGCTTTTCAGAAAATCAAATCAACTATAAAAATATCACTGAAATAAGTAGCTTTGATATTCTACAACCTATTTTTCTACTACAGTGTTTTCCCGAAAATAAGACATCCTCCAAAAATAAGACCTACTTACAAGTTTCTTTCTGAGTGAAATATAAGGCATCCCCCCGAAAGTAAGGCCTCCCTAGGCTAAACATGAGAGATTTGGTCCACTGATTCTCAAAAAAATGGAGTCACAAGAAATTCACCAGGAAATTCAGGAATTGGATTGTTCTGATGATGTTTCAGAAGATGATGACATGATTGTCATTGAATAAATGAGTAAATTCTTGATACTTGTGAAAGAAAAAAGCCACATGCTAACCTGACAAGCTCAGGGAAGGCCTGCGTGGCAGTCTTGCAAACCCAGAGACCTAAGATAACCACAAAAGATGGTTTGAAAATTAAATATCTAACAGATTATAGTAGGTAGTCATGTCCCAGATATTTTCCCAGACAAAGATCAACTTTGATCTGTTTACTGAGCCCATTTGCCTTTTTGCCTCTAAAATAACATATCTGTGAGATGTCTGGGTAACTTGTAGCTTCCCTTTTTCCGGAGCCCCTGGGGAACAACCAGATGTGGTGGGCGTCAGGACAGATGCCTCAAATTCCTTCGTTATCATGTTAATTGTTCCTGTACTCACCAGAGTACACATCCATCATTTTACTTTTTATCCAATCCCAGGAGTTTCCCACTGCTTTGTTTTCTCCCGCCTCCTTACTCCATCACCAATGAATTTCATGTAACCCACCTATGTCCCTCCTTTGATTTCTGTGTATAAATAGAGAAATGTAACCCGCCATTCTTCGGAGCATTATCTCAGTCCGTTGAGGTTTGCTTCTCAGCAATTGTCGACAGTTTTGGCTCAAATAAACTCATGAAAAAATTCTTTACAGGTTTCAATGTTTTTTTTTTTTGTTGTTAACATACTGTAGGACAGTGTTTCCCAACCTTCTCTCATGATGAGAATCACCTGGTGGAGTTGTTAAAACACAGATTCCTGAATCCCAACTAAGAAGTGCTAAACTAGAATTTTTGAGAACATATAGGTAAAATTGTATACTTAACTAGTGCTCTAAGACAGATTTTATATACAGAGCACTAAGTTAGGTATGCAATTTTACCTATATGTTCTCAAAAATTCTAGTTTAGCACTTCTTAGTTGGGATTCAGGAATCTGTGTTTTAACAACTCCACCAGGTGATTCTCATCATGAGAGATGGTTGGGAAACACTGCTGTAGGATTCACAGTTTGTCTGGTTTGTGTTGACAACTACCATACTACCGTACCGTATACAGGTAACAAATTTCCTTTATTTTCATTTAACAATAAATGTGTACCGTATTCTTCTTCATGGAAAAATAATACATCCCCTAAAAATAAGACCTAGCGCATCTTTGGGAGCAAAAATTAATATAAGACACTGTCCTATTTTCGGGGAAACAGGGTATTTGCGATTATATCTTCTTTAAAAAGCAATAAAATGCAAGCATCAATCACTGATTTTATAAGACATATTACACACACGACTGTATTTACTTCCTGTGCATTGTTGTAGCAACACTCAACACAGCTGCTGTGACTAACAAGGGAGGTAAAAAAGATTGTTTCTTTTCAGAGTAGTTCATCTGACATCACAGGAAGGCAACAGACATGGCCTAATCTTCCCAAGTGTACCACTAGGTGCTTGTTATTGTCTCTGCCACACCATTCCCCTCATGATTAATGATGCCTTCTCAAGAAAGTGCTAAAATGGGACTTCTGCTCGGGCCCAAGCGAACACAGAGGTACATATCCTCACATAACTTGTTTTATATGAACTGTGACTATCCTTTCGAAAAGATTACAAAGAAGAGACGTTGTTACCCACAAAAATGAGCTGGTGTTGAAAGGGACAGAATTAACAGAGTTCTGCCTCCTTTTTTCATTTAAGTATTAATAATATACTTTTGTGGCCCTACCTAGCATATTAAAATATTATCAGAAAAGAATAAGAAAATAGTAAACTTAAGTATTAAGTGGAGATGTAATGATATTCAGAATTGCGAATCCTGAATGGTGTGAATAATTTTCTTTAACCTTTGAAGTTATTTATAAGAATGGCAGTGCTTGGTCCTGGCTGGTTTGACTCAGTGGATAGAGTATTGGCCTGCGGACCGAAGGGTCCAGTAAAGGGCACAAGCCAGGGTTATGGGCTCGATCCCTATTAGCGGGTGTGCAGGAGGCAGCCAATCAATGATTCTCTCTCATCATTGATGTGCCTATCTCTCCTTCTTCCTTCTTCTCTGAAATCTATACAAAATATGTCTTAAAAAAAAAAAGAATGTAAGTGCCTAAATGAATGTAGAAATTCTCTTACAGAAGAGGAATTAGAGGCCAGATCAGGTGAAGGGGCTAGCTCAATCTTACTGCGCTAATAACAAAGGCAGAAGGACATCCCAGAATCTCTGCCTTGAAGTTCAATCCCTTTAGAAACTCATACAGAATCTCTGCCTTGAAGTGCAATCCCTTTAGAAACTCAAACTAAAAAGAATACCAAACATTTGAAAAGTTGAGGGCTTATACAATTCTCTACAGAACTTGTTTGAGCAATATTTGAGACTGGCACAGTTGACAGGTTAAGAATTATAATGCTGTGGGTGATAAATTGCAAGGACAATAATAACAATAGTATGTACTTTCATAACACTTAAAACATGCTGGAAATATTATATTTTCACATATGTCTCATTTACTCAGGTTACAAAGGATAAAAATGAGATTGCATTATCAAAGGCTATCAAGTATAAGTATGATTTTCATGATTTAAATATAATTATTAAATATTCTCATTATACCACTAAACCAGACAAACTCTGAAAAGAATTTTCCCCTTATAAATATGGAGAATTGATAACTTAAGAAGATAATGGAAAATTGATTATTGTTAAACATACAGAACTGACATTTATTTCTTTATAAGTATTTACCGAGAATATATTTTGTGCTAGACATTGTTCTTTATTGACCATATAAACAAAATGGAAAGAATATGCAAGTTCTGGAAAAGAATCCCAGAACCCAGATATACAATAAGAAATCAATTTTAGTCCTGGCCAATGTGGCTTAGTGAATAGAGTGTCAGTCCTATCACAGAAGGGTATTGGGTTCAACTCCAAGTCAAGGGCATGTGCCTAGGTTGCATATTTTTAAAAAATATATATTTTATTGATTTTTTTTTTTACAGAGAGGAAGAGAGAGGGATAGTTAGAAACATCGATGAGAGAGAATCATTGATCAGCAGCCTCTTGCACATCCCCTACTGGGGATGTGCCCACAACCAAGGTACATGACCTTGACTGGAATCGAACTTGGGACCTTTCAATCCTCAGGCTGACACTCTATCCACTGAGCCAAACTGGTTTTGATCTAGATTGCAGATTTGATCCCCAGATCCAGTAGGGATGTATGTAGGAGGCAGCCAATGGATATGTCTCTCACATAGATGTCTCTCTCTCTCCCCCTTCTCTCCCTTTCATTCTCTCTAAAAATCAATGGAAATCATGTCTTCAGGTAATGCTTACCAAAATAAAAAAAAATCAATTTTATTACAATTACAGTATTCTCTAAATTACTTAATATAAAGAAGCACCTTAAATACTGGGTGGTAGCTTAAATGTCATCTAGCTAGTGGTTCCCAAAACAGTTGATAATCATAACTGCCTGGAAGGCTGCCAAAAATAAAAATTATAGAATTTCACACAACAGGTATTAAATGAGAGTATTTATGGATAGAGTCAGGGCAATCTGCATTTTGAAAACACTCCCCAGTTCCTTCTCCTGATCAATAGGTTGGGAAACTAACTGATTCTTGCCAAGGCTCCTCATTATAAAGATGAGGAAAGTGGCACTATCATCTCAAAACCAGTATGGTCACTCAGACCAGGGAATTGACTTGCCCAAGGTACTTGCCCCTGGGTGACAGAATTGAGATTAGAATGTTAAAATCATTATTTCCTGGTATTGTTTTCCTTTCCCTTACCCCAAGAGTCCTTCTTTTATTTTTTTCTTCCTGCTATTTCCTATAACCAAGAACTAATATTTAGTCCCTAACCCTAAAAAAGAATAAGAAAAACAAAGCCTGGAAGTTTGAACTTAAGCTGTTTGATTTAAAAGTGTGCTTTCCACTATTCCATGAGGTTCTTCTACAGCTGCTACTTTTGGGGTGTCTGCTCAGCCCCTTTTTCTAGACTCCACCCAGCACTCAGCATGTCCCGACCTTCAGAGATGTCCCTGATAACTGTTGATTGGACCAGGAGAGGTACTTCACCCACAGTGGGCTTAAAATTTGAAACTAGGAGATCGTAGTCTCATTCCGGCCAGAGAGTTATGGTTGGAGCTTGGTCATCTTGCTCCTCCAAGGCAGAGGGAGAAAGGAGAGTGAAAGAGACACGTGGAAGATGGAGCTAGAACTCTCTAAACTCATCTGATTCCTGCTCTCCTTTATTTTTCTTTTGGCTTCTATGAGCTCATATCCTTATGGCAGATTTTAAAAATTATTTATTTTTATGTTACTATTTTGGCTTAAGCTAACTCAAGCTATTTTGTTTCTATTACTCTTCAGCCACAGCTCCTACTAATACACCTCATAGCATTCATTTCATATGAGTTAGTCTATAAACCAGAGTATTTTAAGAGGTTCATTTAAAAAACATTGGCTGAGAGTAGGGAGAGAGGGGAATAGAAAGGATAAGTGCACTGCATTTTATGGAATTCCTATATTCCGTAGAGTGCATTCCACAGT